GAGCCTTCTCCAGGCTGAACAACCCCAACTCTCTCAGCCTGTCTTCATGGGGGAGGTGCTCCGGCCCTCTGGTCATCTTCATGGCCCTCCTCTGGACTCAGTCCAACAGTCCTTCTTACATTGGGGACCACAGAGCTGGACACAATACTCCAAGTAGGGTCTCATGAGAGCGGAGTAGAGGGGCAGAATGACCTCCCTCAACCTGCTGGTCATGCTGGTTTTGATGCAGCCCAGGACACAGTTGGCTTTCTGGGCTGCCTGTGCACACTGCCAGCTCATGTTGAGCTTTTCATCAACCAACACCCCCAAGTCTTTCTCCTCAGGGCTGCTCTCAATCCATGAATTTCTACTTCTTCCTGCCTCTTACTATCTTTCCTCCATTGTAAATATTTTTTCTCTGGCTAAGGTCACTGATTTACAGAAGATTTGTCAGCACTGCTTTGCAATTAGAAATGCAGGGTAGTCATTGCAGAGCAACAGAAAGCGTTCTCCTTTGCTCACCAGCATAGTGATGCCTCATCCCCAGTCCCCAGAAGGAGCAAGAAATCAGCACTGAACAGCAGGTCTGACTCTTCAGCACATGGTGTCAGGAGCAGGTCAATTTATCCATTCCCATTAGGTGTTGGCTGCAAAGACTATTTCTATTATTAGCAAAAAGCCAGCAAAAGACAAGTGAAATACTCACAGCTTATCTTCCTCAATATCATAGTCCAAATCTGCAAACATTGTTTTGGTTAAGTGGAGCCTCTTCACCCAAAACTGCTTATTCCAAACACCCTGGGAAGAAAGAACAAAATAAACCCCAATAAACCAGCGATCTCACTAGAAAACAGAGAATCAACCTGTCACCACTGTCAATCCTCCTCTCTTTTTTTTTTTTCCCCTGAATGTCACATTGTGGTCTCTGTTCTTATACTGAAGATGAAAAACATGTCAAGTGTCTCTGATTCTCTGCTCTGAATGAGACAGGAGAATGTCCTCGAGTTTGAATGCTGCGTGTTTCAAAACCCACACGTGTGCAGTATTTCCAAAGCACAGAACAAAACATGGTCCATTCTGGAAGCTGCTTCTTCACACACTCTACCTGCCTAACATCACAGCTGCTACAGATATTTCCAGTTTTATTCACAACGCCTGTTAAACATCTCCATCATTTTGTTCTTGACTTCATAACAAGTTATGTCACTTTTTGACATTTATGTCTTATCTCGGGAGGCTACACAAAGCTTTTTGCAACTCTTTTTTTCACAAAAAGCCTCATTGTTTCCCCACGCACAAACCCTCCTGTTTAATTTTCCATTTAATTGCGGACAGTAATTAGCAGACACAGTTTGGTTTCCCTCATCCTTTGGCAACCCAAAAGGTACGGTGATGCTACCCCACACCGCAATGGCGGCCTCCTGAGGGGGTTACCCCCACATCCAACCCCACCGGCCGTCGACGGATCGAGGGCTTCACCGACAGCTCGCCGCGCCGCGTCCCTCCTGGCAGCGACCTCGCACGGCTGGCACAGCCCCCT